CTGAAGCCACATCAGAAACAACAGCAGAAGGAACAACTGGAATAACAAATGAAATAACCTCTGCAATAACCGCTGAAGTCACAAATGGAGCTCTATCTGCGGGCACTAGTGTGGCCACAGCTGACACTTTAACTGAAGCAACTACAGATGCGAAAACGGATACTACAACCGATGCAACTATAGCAACAACTACTGAACCTGCAATGACGGCAACAATAGATACGTCAACCGATGACACACGTAACGCAATAACTGACGCTACGACTGAGCCTGCAACAGGAGCTACGATAGAGACTACAGTTGAAACCACAGATGAAACTACAGCTAAAGCAACGACTCAGCCTACAAATGAAACTATAAGTTATCCAACTACTAATACAACGACTGAAATGGCGACAGGAGCAACAACTGAAGCAATAACGAGAGAAAAAATCACCCAAGAGACGACAGAAACGATGGCTGCAGCTACTTCTGAAGCAGCGAATGTATCCTCAAGCAATGCCACGACAGAAGAAGTTGCTAGTACAGTTGCAGGATCAACAACAGCAGTAAATACGGAGACAAATACAACCAACGCAATAGCAGGAACAGCTACCCAATCCATGACAGTACAAAGTACAAATGCAATTGGAACAGAGGTTACAACTGATGTTGCCATGGAAGCAAGCCATGCAACAGTCTTCAACTCTACAACTGACATGGCCAAAGAGGCAACGACAGAAGATTTAATTACAACTTCGACCGTAGAACAAGCAACAACCAGCAATCAGGGCAGTCATCAAACCGTAACAGGAACGCTCTCTTCCATCAGCGTAGAAACTACAACAGATCGAATTAGTACTACTAGTGTACCGGCAACAACAGGTAGAAATAGGATAATAACCCTTTCGTGATGATATATTGACGATATGAATGCAGCTGACGATTGTAATAACAACGATTAAATTGACCACTGTTATATAGGAGTGATTTCTAAGGCACCTGCTATCTCTACAAAAGATCCGATACGAGAAGCTACAACTACAAGTGGAGATCTGTCTTCGGAAACCACTCAACCATCTTCACCAGCATCCACATCATCTTCCGATACGATCATAAGTAATACTTCCCTAATTGCCATAGGTACCAATACGAGCGTTGCACAACCTAGTACAGCCACTACTTCTTCAGATTTGATGCAGAATACAACTGCACAAGCTACAGAGTTAGTAACTAATCCCAAAACAACAACAGAAATAACCACTCTTCTTATTGCAACTACCCAATCGGTTAAAACCACGTCTAAAGCACCAGTAGGAAGCCCTTTTGCATCTAGTAGTGGAATAAGTACCACATCCCAAGGAATGATGTCGACGCGCCCTAGTGTTCAAGCTGCAACTACCAAATTTACCGCCGGCGTCAAAGTTACACCCTTCAAAAGTAAGCAAATATTGCACTTTGAGTATATTGATAAAATCGCACTATTTCGCCACATGTCACGGTGAACAGCGCAACGCTGTAAGCTGTACTCTAATATGAAACTCAATTGTAAACGACTATATTGATTATATTATCAGACGCTAATCCTATTACCTATAGCATAAATTTACAGAATCTCTGCGAAAATAGCTACGCTAAGCATAGCAGCTCAAATCGGTTCTACAGTAATACCATTGCCATTCTATTTTGCAGAGCCATCGACATCACCATCTTCATCAATCAATTCATTATCAAATTTAACAATTGGTAAGCTATTCATGCGTACTGCTTACTTTACCGAACCAAATTGGTTATTTGACTCTTACTAAAGCTGGCGGTTTGCTATTGTGAATTAGAATACCTTTAGTTTGTTATGAAAGCCTTAAGCAACTGTATTTTAAGCCTTATGGTAAATATCCTTTAATTTAATTTGTTTATGGCAACACGCGATGCATAGTGAGGGAGCAGGAATCCGTTATAATGACAGTATTACTGTGTATTGATAGTTCGCCATTGTCTACCATATCATCGCGTACCTTTTTTTGCCAGCAGCGGCTGTAATTGTCGTGCATGGATTTACTTATTGTCTATTTAATAACAATCAAACTTATGATCTTTAGACATCTGATTTTATTTACTGAATGAATTTTCATGCAAATAATTTTCCCGGTTTTGCAGATCCTACAAACTCAAATTATTCAGCTGGGGCTGCCTATACGCATGATTTAACATCAATTAAAGCGATTACTTATATAGTAAGCAAGCATTTTGCATTTAAGTAGATCGATCAAAAGATTTTTACTATAATTACAAAAGAATATAGATTTAATGTTTACTATTTCAACAAACAAAGTCATACATATTACCGTAACTATTCAATTTTCGTCGCCGTTTTGTCGTACTTGTAGGTTCGGAAAAACACGCAAATTGGTCGTAAGGTAGCAGAAAAATTTGCTCAAGAAATCTTGACTGCGACTATAAACGTTTTACATCACGAAAATAATGTTTCGCTGGGAAGCTTACAAGTCTTGTTACGCCTCTTACCAAAAATGATAAAATACGTTAATATCAAATCGCTAGATAGTAATATCAAGAATGAATTACTTAAGGTAGAAATTTTGTCATTTCATTGTAATACCGTCTTTGTAATTCCATGAATATGATTCATGTGGATAAACCAAGCAATACTTTTGCAGAAGTACACCAGGGTTTTGAGATATCTTCCAGTTTATTTCAGAAGTAGGGAAACGGTATGCAAATATTAATTCATAGATTAAAAATTAAAATGATTCGTAGCTAATGCTTAACTGGATTGATAATCGGATTCAAAGAGAATGAAAATTTTACTGTTAGTATAAGTTCGAGTCAGAATTAGTAAATTTACTTGGAAAGACGTGTTACGTTATTTAATCTTGGATAAGAAGTTTATACAAATGAAGAAATTTCAGGCACTCTATAATACAGATTGCTAGTTGAAATATTTAATCAATACGCTGTTTCTGGCTGCTGATAAAAGAAGTAATCTGCCTTAGTATTTCTATAGGCCTGAAATATTGAATAAAGTTATAGGCTACTATAGCTTTTAAGATTAGTGACTAAGGATTTGTGCATTATCATCATTTTTATCTTAAAAATTATACATTAAGTCAATGAAATATTATTTAATTACAAATTCTAGAAGCAAAGAAAAGACTTAGCCACGGAATTAATCAGAAATCTAGATTCGTTGGGAATTGAAATAGCGAGACCATATGGTGTTGGCGATAAGGTTGATATTAAAGACGATAATTTAGGTAAAGCAATTTATCATTAACATTAAAAATGAGAAAGTAATTCAATTACTGAAGTCGATTATGACGCAACGTAAAATAATCAACCTTGTACATCATTAATCGCGATTATGACAATCTTGTATTTTTACGTACCTCAAACAATATTAAAAATTATAAATGAAGGCGAAATAATTATAATGGTATTTATACTGAATACCGTTATTCTATATTGTACAAGAATTATCGGTAGATATTCGAAAAGGAAGAAATTATATGATCAGCAGATATGAAAAATTATTTTTTAATTCGACCATTGATGACAAGGCATATTTTCTTCTACCCAGGCTGGCTAATAAATTCAATGGTAAGTGGTGCTCTCATTTTAACATTTATACAATATGCTACATAGAACTTTCTTTACGCTTATAAAATAAACATAAATTATTCTTAAACCGTAATGTGGATGTGCAACTTAAGATGGATTAGTTAAAAATAGATGACTGCGTTAAGTTGTTTTCCAGAAGTGTAAGAATCTTACCATTGACAATTACATTAGTGTTCAATTTCATTTGAAAGTATAGTTACACAACAGTTATGCCAGTTTATAATTTTACTTAGTCAAGCTTATGTCTAATTTAATAATGAATTCTCTAAAAAGTGTAATTTTTTCGAAAGTACTCATGAATTTGCACCAGTGTTGCCAATTTAACTATTATGAAAATGCAACAACACCTAAATTCTATTCTATATATGCTTGTAAATTATCATATATACATCATGAAGAGTATATCAAACCGAAAATTCCGCTTTTATCGTACTCTTAAGTCAGTTAAATCACTGAAAGAAAATTTTTTAGATTGTCGATTTTTAAAGAAATATCTTTCTTATTACAGAAAGCTTTGATCGTCTAGAGGTAATTTCTGGACTACAGTCTTTTGATAGCGTATTTGGTGGCTCACTACAAAATACAAGGTAGACATTACTGCTGCTTGTAAATTCATGATGTGCATGCGTAGTGCTTTTATTGGTAGCAATTGTAAGCATTAATGGATCTAAGTTTAGTTTCTTGTCAAAATTAAATGTTGCCTCGCACGTTAAATTGACATTAGAATAAGAAAAGTTTCCTTCATTTGATTTACAATGGGTACTGTGTAGAGATACTAGAACACTGACATTAATTTTTATATCAGTCTGCAGCCAATTTCATCCCTTTTATTTTGTTCTCTGAATCCACCCTCCCTTTTCGTACCAACCGAAGGATTTATCTTCAACTTATCTCATACAATGGTTAGCAAACAACATATCCTAGTCCTTTACTTAATGACTTATTGTTTTCCTTCTTGGATAATAAAATATAAAGGAATATTAAATATCAATAATGTTTGTATGTACTCCATTAGGTTAAATACAAATATGAGGAAGTCCAATGTTCCTTTTGGGACACCGAGGCGCTGTAAGTATTCAATCCTTTATGAACGGTATCAAATTAAACTCCCAAGTCAGATAATTTACTGACAGGTAGAATTTCGAAAGTAGTATCATGTCATAAAACTGATATGCCAACGGTGTGCATACCTATTGCGCATTACGACTTCTGTATAAAAATCCTAAGATAGCACGACTATAGTCTGATAATAAATACATTAACGATCAAATAATTACTATTAGGCTGCTTATACACATTGCACCTTCACTTCTTTATTCATGAATGCGAGTTCGCATTATATAATACGTTGCACACTTTATTGCTTTAGCAATTGGTCAACTTACGGCTGCGAAAAGATCGAAGATGGTAGTTCCTACACAATTTGTCAATGCAACCACTTAACACATTTTGCATTAATGGCTCAACCAATTCAAGTGACTAGAATTATACATATTACTAAATGCAGCGTTGCTTATGTAATTTGATGAAGTAGATGTTTTAATTTACAACGTGCGTCATTCTATGTTGTAATAGCAAACAGAAGATGTATACAATAAGTCGAAAGCTCATTTGAATGCATTAGATGTGGTTACATATATTGGAACTGGATGTTCTCTGCTTTGTATTATCATTACTATGATAATTTATGGTGTTTTGAAGTAAGGATGAGCGTAAAATTAGCTGAAAACGAAATAACCTATACTACTAATTATTAAAAATGTTCTATTAAAGAAGTTAATTCCTCTCTCTGTAACACTTCTAGCCTTAATTCGGAAAGATTTATCGTCCACAAAAATCTTCTAATAGCTTTATTTCTTGCGCAATCTACACTGCTTGGCGCTATGAATGCTACAGGAAATGTCGTAAGTCAAAGTCGTCGTGCGCAATTTGTTCATTCTTGACGGTTACAAGCCGAATTGATCTCATATGCCTTTCTGAATACTTTATAGATTGCTTGTAAAATTAGTAGCATCCTCCTTCACATCTTTTATTTGGCAACGTTTTCATGGATGTTGGTGGAGGCGATCCATTTATACTTTCTTATCGTGACCGTTTTCAATCACAAGAGCAAGCTAAAAATTTACTTTGGCATCGGATGGGGTATACAATGTTATATATACAGTTTTTATCTTCGTACTAGCGGCTTCTTCAGTTTGATTTTGTTAAAATTATCTTCCGCAGATGTTAGTTACAAATAATATAGCTGAGCGTTAATTTTTTTGTTTGTGTTCTTGATTTCATAGGCTGTCCTATTATTGTTGTTAGTATCACAGCTATCGTTCGATTCATGGACTATGGTTCTAATGAACTGTGAGATATTTGATCACATAGTATTGCTTAGCTTGTAGATGATCTATTAATATATAAAATTTGTGAACTCCTTCTTTCTCTTTCATTTATATTGATCTTTTAGTTGCTGGCTATCCTATAATTTTGGCATGATCTGGTCTTTTATTGCTCCCATCATTATCATTTTTATAGTAAGATGCTAGATGGGAAAACAAGAAAAAATTTGATATAAGCTTTAAGCATACCACTGTTTGTGTTATTAGATTAACATTTTGATAATGGTACTGGTGATCAGAATAACAGTAAAATCGACGACAACAGTAGCTGGTGAAAAGATTAATTCTAATAGATTCGTTAAGGCTAAGTATGTTTATATTCAACACTTTATCATATTCAATTCGTTATTTATGTATGCTAAAAATTTGCTATCCATATCGCCATAACTTTTATGGATAGCACAATATTCGACTTATTTATTTCTACCCTATAATTTTCGTGCAGATCAATTGTCAAAGCTACGGCTATTTTGTTTCCTATTCTTGGTGTTACTTGGATATTTGGCCTAATTCCTTATACGCCGGAAACAATTGCGTTTTCTTACTTATTTGTCTTCCTGAATTCCTTCCAGGTGTTGAATTTATGAAATACTCTTAGTTACAAATTTTAGTTTATACTATTCGTTAGCTCTGTGAACGATGTCGCAGAGCTATAATTATCAAGTCTAGCAGGAACATTCTACCTGCAATTATTACGAACGTTGCAACTAGCGAAGCTCGTTATAATGAATTACTATAAATGATAATTTTTGACATATTCGAGTAATATTTGAGTGATAATAGCATGAATTGATACATGAAAAATTCTTTAGATGGTAGAGATAATACGATAGATCACGTTATCATGTGTTGGCATTCGCTGATATATTAAATCGAATATTAGTCGTGATACAAAATGTACATCTGAATAGGGTGATTTAAAATTTTTATAATGGCTAAAACGTTATATTTTAATTTTATATTTATTATCTACAAATCTAGTCTAGCTGGCTCGGTATAATTATGGTATACATCTAATATTAAAAATTATAAAAAATTAATATAAATAGCATAAAGTTTACTAGGTTTCTCAAGTACAAGATTGGGAATAGCCTTGATCTCTAGTGATAGATTTATATTACTGTTCATAAATGATAATGGTTAATCTGACGTTACGATTTTCGTTTTATCGACCCGACGAAGCATTTATTTACTTAAATAGATAGCAACTATGTAGCAGTTTATAATGAAAAATTTAATGTATTGTTATAGGACAGTAACCCAAATTTCTAATCATAGTAATTATTCTTTTAAGTTTAGGAGATGATAACGCATGCTTCAGCAGTCGCTATTTTTGTTATAGACTAGAAGTTTAATTATTTGCTATACTGTTTACTTTCTTATAAAGGGCGTCTTCATTTTCATATTCCATTGCTTGCTAAATTCTGAGGTAAGCTTAATAGTTCTTTACTACTTTATCCTCTAAATGTGACACTAATACAAGCGTAGCAGCTTTTACAAAATAAATTGGTGTATCTCTTGAAAACCATTACTAATAATATTTAAAATAACCTTAATTCTTGTATAACTAAAAATTTATTAAATTATGTAATCATAGGTCAAAGCTGCTTTTCAGGCAATGATAAAGAAGAAAAATATAATGTCTAGTATGCGTTTTGGCATGAAGGTATCGTGCTATGTCTTTATTATAGGCTATGTTACGTAGTTGTGGATATCCTCTAACGACTGTATGATAATGAAATAGTAAAAACGCGATTCGAAAAGGCTATATGGAGCATATTTAAGATCGACTATCTTAATTCTTAAGTGAATACTATTTATATTTAGTCTTCCCCAGTCACTATTATAGTTTAATTTTCAGTTATGATAGGACTATTGAATAATTCTATATTGGTATTAAAATATATTTTGTCTACTAGAACAATTCGGAATATCGATCCCGCCTCTCAAGCAACAGATCGTCAAAGATTAAAAAAGTGAGAAAGTCAAGTACAAGTAAAAGTACCAGCGACGTCACCACAGATGGTAACAGAATATAGATTTAATTGTGCTTGAACATGAAATTCTTACCTATATTCATTTATAACAAGAATGACTGATTGAAATACCACTGTCACAGGTTACTATACCATACAAAACGTTCAAAGATTTGATAGTAAGGTACGGCTAAATCGGGAGATTATCTGATTTTTTAACGAAATTAATATTTAATTTAGGCCTACTCTGTACTTTACTGTTTAAAGTGGGTCTGCATATCAATACGTTATTAAATATTAATCACTGATTAATATTAGTGTTATTGAAATGTAGTAAAGTCATAATTTGTTGATGAATCTCTGATACTCTTAAGGAACGCAATGTACTTTCTAAAACAGCTTTACGGAAAAAAAATTGGTTTTAACTTAATCCCATAATCGTATTCATATAGCACACATTTGATATTCCGGATGATCTTAGTGAAGATTATTTGATGTATATCATGCAATCCCAAGAGAAATCATAAAACAAGCTGAAGTTGACGAATTTATACATTTGGGCATTAAGTTATTATAAAAATGATTCAATGGAACTTCAAACCCAGAAATGGTATCGTAATCACTTGCTTTAATTTAGATATCTTAATGGAAAAGCATTAATTGCTTGCAGTGTAGGTTAACTTTATAATAATCGCATATGCTACCGTAAACAACGATGTATTCCCCTAATTGGCCTTGCTAGTAAAGACTTTGTAATGTACAAGAGTCTAAAAATCATTAATAATTTACATTACAGTTTTAGTAATAATTTTGCTACAAGCTCGTTGAAAATCAACTTAAGGAAATAAGAAACAAATATAAATATTTAGGCGTTAGTAATGTACAGTAAATAATAAGATGAGAATATTAGTTCATAAAGATTATAAATCAAATATTAACAATTCAAAAATTCCACAGACTAAAAAGGTTTTATATGTAGACGACCTTTGCATAGTAGAAAAGACAGAAGTTTTCATTATTAATAGTAATAGCTGATTGAATATTTAAGGCTATTGATAATTCACTGTGGTAATTACCATCTACTACAAATTTTTAATCAGCGTGTTATATTAAGATATGCCATTTTAATTACTGATCTACAAAGTAATCGTAAATTGTACGCGTGCTAATTTGTGGGAGATTACTATTATATCATCGACGGTCCTATGATAAATTAAAATAAATATAAATGCAGCGTCACCGAGGATCATGATATAATTAAAAAAAAGTTTAAAATTAAAAACACGTGTTAAGATCAATCTAACAATTAAGTATGAGAGACTTGCGTACATTTACAATAAAGGATGCTATTAAAATTAATGTAAGTGTATTTTTCTTTAGAATTTTGATGCTAAAGTATTGAAATAAATATTTCGATAATCAAATAAGGATCAATTTACTGTGTAAATAGTCCAAATGAAAGGAATAAATACTGTAAAGGGAAGCAACCTTAGGTGAATAATATAGTCGGTCTTGACTATATCGTACCTTAATTATAATCAAGAATTAACTTTGAACCATTACTAATAGAAATATGTTCAATAGTGTTACGAATCTCAGGAAACTTTATTTTGAAACTAAGCAGCATTTATGAGAGTGGTTATTACCGTCCAAGTACGAAATCCAGTCAAGTTATTATAACAGTAGAAATAAAGTTTAAAGGTATTTTTAACTTAAAAATTCTAAGAATGGCTCTCCTAAGACCATTGAGATTAATTTAAGTAACAAAGGGAAGAAAGCTTTTGGTTTTTTTCAGTACGTACAATTAGTTTGATGCACGAAGGGTTGATGATTAGCAGACTTAAAAGCAGATCTCAAAAGCGATTCCAATATAATATTCTTAATACAAGTTGACAAATTTTCAGTCTACACATATAATATCATATTGAAATTATTTATTTAGTGAGGCTACATTAGAGTAAAGAGCCAATCTGAGATAAAGGTTAACTCTTAAATTTAGTTTTGAAATAATTTTCATTTTAAACAAACGAACAAATTAATAAGAAATCAAAGCTTACGTTAGAAAATTAGATAAGTCATCAATCTAATCGTATGTAACCAAGATCGGCCTGCAAGATTAATAAATGAGGCAGAAAGTAACATGTAAAATTAAGTTAATATCATCTTACGGTAATTCATTAATTAGTTACCGTAATTAACGATAAGTAGTAACTGAACTTATAAATACAGTAGCTATTAAAATGTATTGCAATTGCTCTAATATTAAATAAAGTAATCATCAGTTACATTAGATATAGAAATCATTAATGATTAGTACAATAGAATATTCGCCTGTGTATATCCTTATGAATTATAAAATATATACGAATATAAATATTTGTGTGTAGAAAATAGGCTCCATGTCAGATCCCTGGCCATTATATGTAAGATGACAGGGCTAGACCCGCGTAGGCCAGTGGTGCTAAGGATTTCATTTAGGTGTTAAGATGGTCGTATGCAGCTTGCGGATAATTTTGGAGGCGATAGCTGTAACCTTAAGTCAGAATGCAAGACGTCTCAGTAGACGATATCAGCATATCTCTGTAATTAGAGTATAATGGGCTTAGAGTGAGATATGACAATCATGCAAGGCTAGAGATCTCTCGTTATGAGAGATTATTAATTATAGGAATGCATAAATAAACCTATGGACTTATAAAGCCTAAGTTTACTACTGTAATATTCAACAATAATTTTTAGTTAAAAGCTGCTTTTAACCGTTATACT